TTTTTTACATGGGTAATGAGCTAGAATTGCACTTCTAATTCAAAGTTCTCTGAAAAATTTCTTACAAAATAAAAGAATTTACCAGTCTTGTCAAATCAAATCCTTTTCTTTGTCGGTTCTTATAGTTGGATTTCGATTCTAATAATGTTATTTCGACAAGCAATATTCACCTCTTTAGTATTAAACAAATAGGTACCACGAAATAATCATCTCTTGCCTGAACATGGTTATCACATGACGAAAGCTTAGAAAATGTCTCAAATCTTGCGGTTTTGAAGTAAAATATTCTTGCTAAATCTTCACATAGAATGAAAAAAAATAGAAAAAGAGGAACCGATTTAAAATTATGTTACAATCATTTTGCAGCTTTCTTCAATTTTTTCTTCAAATAAAAAGAGAACAAAGTAAGAGAAAAGGCTCGCAGTTAGTGTTTGCATAGTCTCACATACACATATCGGTAGCATATCAATGTCATTCGATGCTGAAATGAGAGAAACATTTTTTTTTAATGTATAGATAAGAGGTCCTATAATTATGTTATATCCTGTATTATGCAATGACTCACGGTAATATTAATAGCTGATATTTTGTATATTCCTCATAGAAGAATATGATAACCAGTCATTCGATTCGAATGTATGTATGTTCTTTCTCACACTGTTGAAAAACGACTATGTGATAATTGATTAGCTAGCGTCAAAATTAATTATATGTAGTCATTAAACATACTCAAGTGTTCTATGATGTATCATGACAGACAAATGATAAAACAAAAATATAGTACGTAACAAAGGTTATTGTAAATAGTTGTTTGGTAGCTACTCGGAACGATACTTATCTACTTGAATCATTATCAGTTTTTATCCATCTGTCAAAATGTTCACAAAACCAAATTTACTAAGCAGATGTATAAAAAATTTGAATAGCAATAGATAATAAAAGAATAAATATCTTGATATAAATTCAGCCCATGTTAGATGACAAATAAAGCATGCTCTGATAAATGAATGCTACTATTATGTGTTGATTTTCTGATACATCTATCAAGCTTACGTCTGTTATCGCTCACAGTTCTCAGAACTGTTTCATTTTTTGGACAACTATATCTAGTTCCAGTTCTTTCAATAGGAACTGTTCCATGTCTAATGAAGCTATAGCTTCAAAAGTTCATAGTTCAATTTAGCTGAATATTGAACACGATGGAGCTACTTTAAACATTATCAGGCCGTGAGATATATATTGACATCTCTATCATCGGTTGTAAGTAAATTAAAAGGACATCGGCATATTTGTCGGGATCTTTTAGGAGAGATGGATTCAATTTTCTTGCCGTTTATTTCAATACTCATTAACAATCATGTTTCAAAAAAGTATTATAGGAATGAAACAGGATCGTTATCTTCTTTTTGTAGTGATTCGCAGGTAGATATGATTGATCGAGAGATTGATTCAACTGTTATCGAATGCAAAAGAGCAAAAAACTGATTGATTCCAGTTTACCGTCCAGCTCGTTCGGTCTGATTAGTTTACACTAGTACTTTATGGAATGTTACTGAATATCTATGCAATTTTGTTTACTCAACATATAGGTGTGAGAAAATAATCATCTGAATCGTCTCTTGAATGATAGGTTTGAAGTTCTTCTATCCGGCACACATGTGTCAATCAAAACGGAACACAATTTTCATGTATGTTTTTGAATTGTTTGTGAAGATGACAGTTTTTTTTAAATAACTTTGTCTGTTATGGAATCAGATTAAAAGATGTTTGGAGTGTTCCTCTTTCGATTTCTGGAAACGGTAGATAGCTAGCTGTTGTTATTATCGAGTTATTGAGCTTGTATATCTTTCTTTAATTCTGACGCGAGCATTAGTTGAGTTATACAAGGTAAATATCAGAAAGAGTGCAAACCTACCTAGGTGTAACTTTATTGAGTAAAAATAAACTTCTGAACAAGACTAATTCAATGTTCAAAGATTATTTGAAGATTCGTTTTCTTACGCAATATTTCTTGACTATGTTAAGCAACAATAAAAATTTTTAACATTTTAAAAATATGTGATATATGTATAATATAAAATATTCACCAGATTTCAAGATTTCGAAAGCTTTCGTGAGATTTTAAGACTAAAATTTCTGTTGTTTCTTTCTCAATTAAATTATAACAAAATATTGTACTGCATGTGAACGCAAATTTATAGAAAAAAAATTGCCATATTTGAACTAATAATGACAGGCCATCTTTTGAGAAGAATGAAATGCATATTTGCTGCAAAAATCGATATATTTTCCTTCTTAATATTAAAAAGCACGAGATATTTCGTCTTTTTTTTGTTTCATATTTTTTTAGATCAAAAATTGGTAAAGTCGACTCTAGCGTATCATTGGTGGATTTTTTGATAAAAACCTCATGAAATACTACAGATGTCGATTTTCACGTCTTTCTTTTTTCCTTTTCTGTCTTTCTTTTACACTGATCTGATATAATTTTTTCTTTCTTTGATTTAATATCTTTTGATAACACCTTTCTAGTGATCGTTATTAATCGCTTTAACTCTTAGTGAGCATAGTATATAGATGTGCACGTCTCTCTTTAGTGTCAATGGATCTGAGTGTGATACTAGCTATGTTTGTATGTGTTTCTATTGAAATAATCCATAGAAAGAGTTCCATGAAAATATTCTCCAATACTCTCACCTACACTATCACGTTTTACTTCACTCACTCTCTCTGCCTGACATTGAGGATCGCGTAATCATGGCAAATATTGAATACACAATGGAGCTTTTTTTCCTGTACACGCATTAATTACTCTACAAGACAGAACGTGCTTGCATGCATTATATCTCATATTTCAGTACATACTAAGATAAGCAAATATTTCGTGTATGAGAGAGAGCACGCAGAAAAATAGTAGAGTGATATTTGCATAATATTCAAATCGTGAAGAAAAAGAAGGTTTAATTTTAGTATACAGTGAATATGGCTTGAGACCACTTTTTTTTTCATTTGGATAAAGGTAATTCATACGTACATAATCCAGATAAGAATTCTTTAGACAACTCTGCTGACGTAAATGAGTGAAAGGATTTCATTAGACTGACATAAAATTAGAGGAGCGTTGATGTTAAAACTGGAAAACAGTTGTGAAAAACTTAAGGAGTAAAAAGTGAGGCTTCAGCACTCAGAATTGAGAATGAAACACAAGTGAAGTACGATATTTACCATATTTCGGAGTAACGATGTCTTGCTTTTTCCTCCATGAGAAGAATATAGAATAAAATTGCTTTTGAAAAATCATATTTTTTGAATCAAACCTAACAGTAAAGAGCTGGTCAGATTCAGTCTGATCCGATTCATTTAAGAATTCTTGACCGATCAATCGAATTTTTTTTGAGTTGGTTCACGTTTTTTTTTCAAAAAATTGATCAAAAAAGTGTTGTTTTCACAAATCGAACACTTTTTACTGTTGACGAATCCTACATTCATAAAAAAAGGATGCATCAGATGATTGTATTCGAAATTCATGATATCATGCCAAAAACTTTTTTTTAGAACGTGACATTGGTATCACATAATATTATTGAAATCAGATCCATTAATTGTTTAGCAGTGTATTTTATCATAGATTCATTTGTATTTCACTGTTTTTCATAGCATATACTTTTCAGATCTAAAAGAAATAATAAGGTAAACATAAATTGGAAAACAATCTTCCTCACATGAAATACTTTTCTCTATTCATCACTCAAGTCACGAGTCATGCTGGAATAAACTGTCAATATTACACTTTAATGTAATTTCTTTTCGAAGAATCACGCTTTCGTAATCGAAAAAAATATAAACTTTGAAGGACTATCTATTTTGATTGACTAAGTTATAATTCGCCAAACACATCGATAAACTTTTCTTTAGATTGTGATTATTTCTGAACGAAATAAAATCTTAACGTCTTGTTCTTTGCAACTGAAACTTTCTGAGACTCTGATATGGAAAATTTTATAAATTTCTCATGAAAGTATATTTTCTAGTGTTGAACGTTTCATTATCAACATACATACGAAGACTTTGGCTGCATGTGAACTTCATCTGCTTTCCATTTGCATCTACCTCTGATCGCTTAATTACTGTGCCTTACTTTGATTGTACTTTGGTGAAAAGTGCATTTCTTTTTTCTTTGCATATCAATCAACTATGAAAATACGTCGTCGCTGTCGAAATTCCTGTAAAGGATGCAGATGCATTGCTACTCGGACACTTTGTGCCAGTGTTTCGATGATAATTTTTATTTCGATATATTCTCTTGTTTCTATTGTGCGATCTCGCGAGTCAATGGAAGTGTTTGTTGTCGACGAATATGATCTCGAAGATGCGAAAATCAAACCCACGTCCAATCTTCATCTTCTACGCGAAGACTACTTCAAAAAAACGCATTTGACTTGTCGCTATCCTACATTGACGATCGACAATCCAGAGATTTGGAAAAATCTCCATCCGGTAAAGGAATCGCAACCTAAGTGTGAAAAAGATAACAATTGGGTCTATGTCGAAAACGGTCAGTTAATAATGTATTGTTTTCGTACATATGCTATTGAGTGTTGCCAATCAATGGCAACATAGATGATGACTGAAGCACATTGAATCTCATTTGGACTTTTATTTAGGCACTTTTCGGCTGTCACAACAAGCTCTACAAAAACATGGTTCGATCACATGTGCATATTACCCAATTCTCCGATCGAAAGACGATTTTTCGACAATGAAAGGTGCTCGGTTATTTCCGGCCGTCGACAAAATGCCCCTGATGTCCGATTTCTTCCAGGTTGATTGTCAAGCAAAAGATGGTAATTCCTATTCGAACGTTCATATGGGAATTAGGTTTGATCCACTTTTACATGTGAGGTGAGTATATGTATCCCGGATTCTCTTAATACGTAATATTCTATTGTAGAAGTATACAGAACCCGATGGTGAAAACCCATCTCGGATACAATATTTTGATGTTTGGTTTTGATTCGGTGTCCCGTATGACTTTCATGCGGTGCTTGCCAAAAACATACTCGTTTCTAATCAAAGAACTCGGTGCTGTTGTTATGAAAGGTTAGTTCTTTACGAAGACTTGTCAAGGAAGATCCATTCGTAGATCTTGATGATTCATAGGATACAATATTGTTGGGGATGGTACACCAGCAGCACTTCTTCCTATTTTGACAGGATATACTGAAATAGAATTACCGGAATCAAGACGAGGACATGCAGGAGCTGAAACCGTCGATCAGTATCCTTGGATTTGGAACCAATTGAAAGGTAAAACTGTATATGTCTTCGTAATTTTTCGGATTCAACTATATGAAAGTCATAAAGATTTCATGAACTTTCTGCGAAGATCATGCTGTTGTTTAAATGATATTCGACACTTCGATCAAGATATTTTAGTGTGAGAGAATTGTCCGCAATAGCTTTCGTCTGAAACCCAAGACATAAACATGTCTTCAGCAATAACATAGTTCGCTGATCTTATTAAAGTAGGCTTCTCGATACGCATACTGAGACTAGTCGTAGGAAATTTTGTTTTTTGAGTGAATAAAGAATCGTGAACTAGTGTTATCGACGTTGAGCATTTAAGTCGAATATATTGAAATGCCGTCTCAACAACTCAGAGGATAGTTAATTTCGTTAGAGCAAAAATCCTATAAAGTAATAGATAAGCCAAGTAGCTTAAATGTTTTTCGATCGTTTATATTCTATTTTTCGTACAGATAATGGTTATGTGACTCAATGGGCAGAAGATATGCAGAGCGTTGGCACATTTCAATATCGTCTAAAAGGCTTTCGAGATCCACCCGTGGATCATTACGGTCGCCCGTTCTATCTGTTTGCCGAACGCATCAATACGTTGAAACAGCTTTGTTTTGGTTCGATCACTCGTCTTCAGGCGATGTTCACTTGGATTCGTAATTTCTTCGATATGTATCCTCATCAACCGAAATTTTCATATCTTTTCCATTCCTATTATTCGCACAATTCTAACGATCGTTTACCATATGCTGACAATGAACTTTTAACTTTTCTCCAAATGATGCAAGCACATGGTTATCTTGATGACACGATGCTCATCATAATGGCTGATCATGGTGCTCGGTTCTCAGCATTACGAAGGACTTATCAGGGTAAATTGGAAGAACGTTTACCTTTCATGTCCATTCGAATGCCACCCAAATTTCAAGCACAATATCCGACGATCATGAAAAACTTACGTTTAAATTCACATCGTTTAACGACGCCATTCGATCTTCATGAAACATTCCAACATCTCTTCCAGTTTCATGCACGCGCTCCTTATGAATCAAAATCGAATCGTTCTTTCAGTTTATTTGAGTTGGTGCCCGAAAATCGAACTTGTGCTCAAGCCGATGTTGATCAACATTGGTGTGCGTGCCTCGATTGGCATGACATATTAGTCAATACGTCGATCATTCAGCAGTATGGTCGAGCTGTTGTCGATTTCCTGAACAAGTTTGTGTCAGATCATCAACAGGACTGTGCTACACTTTCTCTACTTCGAGTGATCAAAGCGAGTCGGTTCGAAGTCAACGAACGTGTCTTAAAGTTCGTCGGTGCAAATGATGTAGACGGTCGAATACCAAAATTCCAGAGCGACTTATCACAATCGTTGGATGAAACGAGATTCTATCAGATTCAGCTCGAAACGACACCCGGTCAAGGTCAATTCGAAGTGACAGCCGCACACGATCCGAAAAGAAATACATTCGATATTCAAAAGCGACATATAAGTCGGATGAACGCATACGGTACAACATCGGCTTGTATTGCATGGAAACGGCCAGAATTTCGAGAAATTTGTTATTGTTCTAATTTGTTGGTTCACACAAATGTGTCTAGTAAAGCTATTGTCATGAATGATCGAACAACGATACAGATAAAGAATACGGCTGTGAACAACAGCAATGTTCATGTATAATATCTACTTTGTTTCCCTTCTCAATCCTATCAACATCTGAATAAAATTTTCTTCCCGGCTAACTAATGAAAATCAGAGAGGTATTGATGATTCAACATTTTATCGAGCTGTGAAATGATTCATTGAACATAGTGCTTTATAGTCAAGAAAAACTTTCTTGACTTAATTCCAATGAAAATGAAATATTCATTGGATGGAAAGATGGATAGTATATGATTTTAAAAATTGTCTTCTCGAATTGGTTTGCGAAAAATGCATTAAGTTTCTTACTAATCTGATCGATCACTTTGAAAGCGATGAATTGCTATTTATCAATTGATTTGAGCACAATGGCCTCCATTTGATCATAGCTTTGGTTAGCTTTATCTTTCATGTTTTGAATCAGATCTGAATTTATGTAGGAACACATGATGTGTCTACAAGAACGAATATGTTCTACTTGATGGCCTATAAAGAGATCGATAATAGTTATATGCACCTAAAGAGAAATAATCAGATTCAAATCTACATCTTATCAATGAGAGATAGACTTTCACATGGTTATATTTCCCAGAATTTGAATGATCAACCTCGACAACATTGCATAGACGTCAGTTGGAAACGACATAGTCTGATTTATGGACGGAACCGGTCGTTGTTAGTATTGTGTGTTCATGGTTGAATCGACTGAATAATGAAAATAAGCGATGGATTCGGCTAAAACTGAAATCAAGCGAAATCAAGTTCTGTACAATAGACGAAGATATATTTTGCCATCGGATTCAATAAGTTGTTCACTATGACACAATTACATCGAGTATTAAAGAATGGCAATGTTCTAATTATTTTATGGTATTTGCCTTTAAAATTAGATCGATTCTAAACTTTGATTTTGTTTAGGTTTTTAGTTAGCTCCCTACTTTGCCTTTCATTTATAAGACAGCTAATGTCGAACATGTACATATTTTACAAATGTTTAATGGCGACGGAGACGATCGGAAGCGCAAGCAATACAAATGTACGTGATTGGTGCGATACTATTTGCCAAAGCCTATACGAAGCAGTTGTCTCTCGTTCAATAATTGTTTTCTAATCTTCACTCTGGATCGAAGCTCCATTTATTATGCTATTGATCTGCAGATTGAAGAGTATTTTATAGGACGACCTTGACAACACCGATGAGTTCGGTTTCAATGTAGTTCGTCATCTATTCTTATGCAACACTGTCTGGCAGAGATGAAACCGGACCAGTTACCGATAGACTGGCCGGTTCGATACAGTCTGATCTTTTCAGACTATCAAACAAATATATTTTCATTACCATAAGCAAAAGCAATTTGGTCTTTCATAATAGGTGAATAACTAAACAAAAGAGTACAAACCAAATATTTAAACGAAGAAGAAAATCTCCATTTGGATTCAATACGATTCGTCTGAAGTGAATCAAATCAAATAAATTGAAAATTTGATTCGATTTCGTTCTTTATTACAAACTCGCATACTATCGTGTTATTTCATCATGCTATGACGGCGGTTTTCTTTAATATGTTGATAGTAATAATTGGGTTTGGAATAAAAAATACGCATGTGATTTAGACTATTCAAGTTCAATGAAAATTTTAGGATGACGAATTAGAACAAGTGAAAATAGACAAAAAAATCAAACCATTTGAACAATCAATATATTTGATAAGCAAGTATCATGAAAAGAAATAATAAGTCTGATAGTTTCGAGAATTCAAATTTGGTTCTTCTAATGAAAAAGATTTGTTATCAAATACTAACAAAAGCTTGAGATATTGGAAAACTACTTGCATTACCATTTATTCTACACCATCCGCTATTCTGTTGTTAAAAACTCGCATTTTTCGTAAACCATAATTTTTATGTAAAAAGTGATTTTAGTACGTACTAAAATTTTTTTCACAAAGCGTGACTTTTAGAATAAAAACTTCTTTCAGTGAACAAACAAGTGTCAAATTCCAAGAAATCGATGAAAGATTTATATTTCCCAAAATACTCTTTCCGTGAGGACTCCTTGGAGTGGAGCAAAGTACAGTAGACTATAGGATTTTCGCCTTTGTTCCTGGGTAAAAGGTGCTTTATACTTCAGCTGTACTCAAAAGTTTTTTTTTCTTGAGAACATGAACTCTGGCTTTGTCTTTCTAGGCATTACTGTTCTTAAGAAGATTTAATGCAATTGATACAAACTACGGTATGTTACTATTGTAGTGTTCGTCTTGCCTATCATTAACTTTCAATCTTCTTCATAGTCACACTTTTTCAAAAAATACATATAAGCTAGAATCATGGTCATTGAACATGAAATGAGTTCATGAACTCATTTTTAGAAAATGGCATGCAGCTGCAGAAAGAGAAGAAGCTTTGTATCATGTATCTCCTGTCTTGACAGTAACTGAACAACCACCATGCAACTTACAGACATATATATTCACTATTAGAATAGGAATCAATATTCTTTTATATCACCGCAAATAGATAGTATAATGAACGCATAGAAATGTAATACACCATTGCTGTAACCTGATAAAGTATGCTATCTTTACGTTGTCGTCATCACTTCATGTCCAATAAGCATCGCTTAGATGAATTTTGATTTCAAGTATTCATGTGCTGTGCCATGTTCATTCAAACATACAATAGGTTTGCTACGCACTAATCGTTTGAATATACTTCTAAGACTGTGTGTAATCAGCCAATTACTACTCGAAGAATCATTGAATTTGCTCACGATAAATGAAAGACGATTTTTTTTTCGTACAGAGCAAACACATAGTAAAATGAGAGAACTGTATTACCATCTTCTTTATATGAAATTGTCAACGCTGTAAATGTCAATCTTTCAAGTTTCATCTTACTGATTTAAGCTTCTATCAGCTCAATATTTTTATCAGGTATAATAAGCAATAACCAGTACGAGAAAAGAATCTATGTATAACAGAATTTTCCATTATTTTTTAAATAAATTATTTGAGTTAATGGACAATAATTGGAAGATATATAAGATAGTTTTAACAGCAGCAAGAAAATTCATTTCATTTTGTCTAACAATAATGATGACAAGAGAACTATTTAGTTCTGTTTTTCTAATGCAAAAATTGATTTTTAGAAAAACATATTAAATTGTGAAACAGAATGTTTTCTATATACAGTAAAATTTTGTTTCTCCAACCTAAAATATCGAAAATTGGCTGTACTTGTCTCTCGTAAGGGTCTTCAAAATGAGCCTCAATAAAAATATCAACCAGAAATGAGGACATTTTCTTTATGTACCAAAATACATATACATAAATGTTAGCATACAATCAGGGATCTGACATTAGACAGATACTATTTCAGACAATTCTCATTTTGGCTGGTTATAATAAGCCCAATCAAAGATTCACCTGAAGATTTTAGGCGCATTTCAGATTGACTTACGTCAATAGTCGATTGAAAGATTAATCCTCATATGCTATTTACATTCTATTACATTAGATATGTTTTGTGAGTGCAGTCGGGTCCACATATAAATCAACAAGAAGAACTAAATTTATTTTATCTGATTTACGTGAGATATGGATGAATCGAAAACATTTATCATAATTTTTTTCAGACAGGAATATATTGGTACTAGTCGTGACTTATGTGAACGTTTACAGTTTACAAGACACTTGTGAGTAGAGTTTATAAAGGATTATGATATTAAAATATTATTTGTCATCAGAACCTCTCGAATCCTCTTTAGTTTTATTATATTTGTCATTTTTTATCTAAAAAAAAACAGAAAAATGTTAGACTTAGTGTACTTAGAGAGTTCTTGATGTTTTCGGACGAAGGACATTTCTAAGAAAAAAAAACTGAGTATGGTCGACATGGCTAGAAGCAATGACGGGAGTGTTTCGATCCGCATACAACAAAATCTGTGAGACAAACATGAAAGAAACATTGAAATCACTATGATCACTACTAATTAACGAATCGTATGGAAAATATACTCTAGAAATGAGATTCGTGTGGATAAACTCTCTAATTTTTTCCTTTAAGACCTATTCGCAAAACTTGACATAGTCTCCATACAATCATTGGAAGGCTCGCGATTAGAAAAATAATCGCTAAGAAATAAACTAGGTAGTGATGCAGCAGAAAACAAAAAACAGCGTTGCGCATCTGACTGAATCCACAAAAAATATTCTAGAGTTAATAATTCTCTATTAAAAGAATCAAATACAACTTAGAAAAGAATCATCAAAATAATATTTGATTCTTTTATCAGAGAGTTATTAAATGAAATGAGCAGATGTGGAGTCTTTTCAATGAAGAATTTGAAAGCTTTCTGATTGATTATCTCATCAAGTTAAATAATGTTTGAAGTGGATAAAGAAATATTTTAGTAACACCAACTCTATTTGAAAACTCCTGGAAAACCAAAAAATTTCTAAAAAGGACCACTTTAAATTTTCAGCCTTATAATCTATGTTTGTTTTAGACTTAATCATCATTTGTCAATTTCCCATGGATTATATTCAAATCAAAAGCAATAGCAAGAGTTCTTTACAATGAATCTAGATTTGCAGCAATCTAATCTACCAGACGAAAAAAAATCATATTTTGTCAGAAAAATGTCAATGGTCCAATACAATTGTAAGCTATTGGTAGTGATCGCTATTGGACTGTATTGTATGATTTTATCCTTCTATCAATCTTCTAATGCGCTAAACTTTTACATGAGAAAATATGCGAATGCAGGAACAAATTTAAGTGTGCAACATTTCAATATTACATGTGCTGATTCTATTTTAAATTGGTGTGTTGAGAACAGAATTGACTTACCGAACTGTTCATGGACGATAGGAACATTTCGAAGTCATTTTTATACCATGGCAGCCTTACTCAATCCATCATATCCCGATCTGATGAATAATAATAGCGGACTGGCATTGATTCGGTTAGGAGATGGAGAAATGAAGCTCATGTTTGGAGTTTCCGTGCGATCTATTGATCCATGGTCATGGCCTGGTGGTCAATCAAGATTAGGACTTGATTTGAGAAAAGCATTACGCTATCCTAAATATCAATATAATGCATTTAGTCCAGTGTACTATGGAATATATGATGCTAAGGACATTTGTCCTTTCCATGAACTTCTCACAATGATCTACCAGCATCCAAAATATTTAACGTACACAAATTTATTCGTCAATTCTAACTATCCTAGTACAAAATTATTGCACCGTTCGCTAATTCGAGATCATCGGAAAAAAATTATTCTGATTATTAACAATGGAACTAGCTCAAAAAAATTACTTGAACTTAATGAATGGGCTTGTGAAATAGTACAGTATCCGAATGATGGACCATTGTTATGGGAAAACAATCAGTTTAGAGAAAAAGCAATTGACAAAATCGTAGCTACAGCAAAACGTTATAGAAATCGGCTATTCGCATTTTCAGTAGGTCCATTGACGAGAGTTCTTATTCATCATGCTTGGCTCGAGAATCCATTCAATCGTTATATAGACTTCGGTTCTACATTAGATGAAATGATAAAAGACAGGGTGACTCGACCATATCAGTCGAATACGGAACTCAACCATGATCCAACATATATTATAAATTTTGACGCAAACAAACGCCTTTTTCAAATATCAACTGTTAACTGAGAATATACTCTACGTTTCTTTCATTGCTTTTGAGTCAAATATTTTTATTTGACATAACTATTAACTTATTCGGACAATAAACATTCAAGCAATATTGCGACTCAAAAATTTCCATAGGAATCTCACTTCATATTGACAACATATGCACAAGAGATTTAAATATACTTCATACTTTCTAGAAATGCTTTTGATGTTATATTGGTAGCGATATACAGAAGCTATTGTTTGAAGGTAGATTTATTGTATACAAATCAAACTTCTTTCACCAAAAGATAAAAAATCGTATATCTTTGTCTATGTGTATGCTCTTAATCTCGATAAATCACTTATTGTGATGGATTGAATTTCTTTACTTTTTAGTGAAGCATTCAAAGTGCTATCAGTATAGGTTATTTGACTTAATTTGCAACGTCTAAAGCTTTGCAAGTGCGTTATTTTTATATAATTAAAAGAAAAATAATTCTGACTGCATTCGGGAAAATGACAGACATCCGTCTGCATGAATGTAAATGTGAATATGAGTGGAGAGGTATCAATGCGGATATAGGCGTTGATATATACAAGTAGGTCAAGGGAAGATACATGCTCAGACGTCCACACCCATATCATTTTTCGATACTCATTGTCATCTTTTTTATTTTTATTTTTATTTTTATTTATACAGATGAACTAACAAATCACTCAGCTGGTGGTGGTATTTCGAGCTATTAAAGGTTCGATTAGAGAAAGTTGAAATAGTAACCGAAGACATTGTCAAGATAGCTTCTGCTGTTCTTTGATCGATAACACTATTTTCTATATAAATGTTGACAATTGGAATATTTCTTAAGAATGCTGCCGACACCAATGCAAACATGGTTACTGTTGATGAAGAACCTGAAATAATCACTGCTGTACTTTGTGTACCTTGCATAACCATGTCAAATGCATAAAGCACTTCGGCAGCAGCAGTGATCGGTGTTGAG